ATAGCTTTTCCCCAAGCTAAGTTATGATGAAAAGCTGACTTTATCTTCTTTATATAACATTAAAATGAATTTACAATTTTTCAACTATACGTTCCATCAATTTTTATTAAAATATGTTAAATTTTTTTATTTTTTTAAAATCTAAATCAAACAGGGACTTGGTTGTACAAATTTCAATAAAAAAATAACATGATTGCATGTTTTAACTCTTATCCAACAAAATATTAACAAAATAATTAGAGTCCAAATTAATGTTAAATATCTTTTTCAAAATTAAAATTAATTTAAAAATAAAAAAAATCCACTAAAAATCTAATTTTAATTTAAATCAAATAGAGATTAGGTCGCATAAGTTGTGTACTACCTGGCATGCATGGTGTGTAATGCACATTTTAATTATTGAAATTAGTTTTCTTAACGTTATAGTTCATTGAATGAAGGAAAACAAAAAATAGAAACGAGAAACGAAACAAAACATGCTACATCATAAAAAGTTAAAAAAAAAAAAAAAAACTTTCATTTTAATCTTGTCATAACCATCATTTTCATTTGTAGGGTGCCACGTGAAAAATTATTTATTGTATGGTTATTAAATAAATAATTTACGCTAGCTTGAAGGATGGTAGGTGACTGAAAGGGATACAGTGGTGAAATTTAAAACAAATTAAAATCAAGTGATTCAATAGAGACAACTTAAAATTTAATTTTCCCGTTGAGGTTTCAATGAAAGTTCAGTGATTACGGCTGAAATTTACTTCAAGAAAATACTTGTCTACGTGCAACTCCTCACGTTTTCCACATTATTATCGCCTAACTCACACATCAAAAATCAACAGTCTTTTCCCTCTTTCACACCCAAAGACACACGTGGTGAAAGAATATAAAAGAAAAGATTGTCAAGCAAGTTTTAGTTATCTTAACTAATCCACAAGGCTAGTATCCGTTTGTTCCACATTTTTTCTTCATTTTTAGAAAAAAAACTGGACCTTTGAATGGCCCTACTTGGCCATTTTCTTTGACTTTTACCTCACACTTTTCTTGAATTGCACGTTCCAATGGTACAATTTCTCATTCTCCTACTTTAAATAATGCCGTCCAAACAGAGGCTAAATAAGGAATAACAAACAAACTCTTTGGTACGAATCTCTTCGTTTTATCTCGATATAAAATGAACAACTCCTTACACACACTAAGACACATATAGGTTTAGAGAAACAATAAACAATGTAGAAGAAGAGATTGGCTAGTAAGCCAAGAGGGCTTGAACTATCCTAAATAAGGCATAAGGTTGATGGAGAAGGAGCATAGCAAATCAATTTTTGACCAATTAAAGGTGCGAAGCGTTTAGTTTAGCTTTATCTTAATATAAATTATGTTTTTCACTCGTACACAGAGACACAATAAAGACGAGATTGGTTAACAAGTTCAGAGTGCTTTCGTTGTCCTAATTAAATTTGAAAACTAGTTAACGGAGAGTATAACGAATCAACTCTTATTTAAACACGTAAAATGATTTGTTTTTATCTTATCTTAATATAAGAAGAGCATTCCTCTCTCTCTCACACACAAAGAGACACGTACTATACATGAAGAAACTACATAAAAAAGAGATAAAAACACTTTGCCCACCAAAACCACCTTTAATTGTGCTTCAATCATTGTAGTAAACAAATAGTGACTCAGTAACGGAAAGTTGTGTGCCGCTGCAAGCAAAGTTAGCCATCACCGCCATACACCAAAAATACACACACACACACACAAACTGCCTTCCTCTCTCTTCCCTCTCTTTACAGTGCAAGAAACTGTAAAGTCCAGACCAACACACGATATGAGAATCGAAACAGACAATAACCAAAATAGAACAGTAAAACTGCAGAAATTAAAAGACGAACACAAGAATTATTTCAGTCTTAGCCTCGGAGGTTCAGTGACCGCTTCTAACACCTACTTCCCCCCGTTGAGCATGCATAAAAAATGATTATGCTCAGATACACTAAAACAATCGCAAAATGGCATCGAAGATTACAAATGTTAGAGAAGAGATATGTGACTATCTCTTAATATTACGGTAATAGATCTACCCAAATTCACCAAGAATCACCAAGTAACCCTTCGAAATACACACTAAGTAACACAATAGAAAAATCACTCAAATCCTCACAATATTCACATAGAATATTACAATCGAAAGTTGATCTATCTTTCACAACACTTTAAATTAGAGATTTAAAGTAATACAAACAAGAATCATCAAACCCTATCGTCTTCTCTCTTTTTCTCTCCACTCACATAAACCCTCGAAGTCTCCAGAATGAGTGAATGAATCGTGTAGCAGACCAAAAGCCTTCAGCCCAAGTATATAGGTCATCCTCCATCGAACGGTCAAGAGTGAACCACGTGTCAACCATCAGATCAAGGATGCTTCAAATAATAGAAGCGTGTTTTGTAAACACGTTTAAGAGCCAAAATGCTGGGAGCATATAAATGGGCCGGGTTCCAGTTCAACATTCTCCACCTTGCTACCAGATTTTGGACTGTTGGTGCATCCACGAACATAAACACTGATCATTTCATTTGATGTGAGTATCAACATCAAGATCACAAAGAATAAATAGAAAGAAATTTAAGACAGTTTAAAAATTTGTTTAAAGGAATCACTTTTGTACCCATATCTAAATGATTATGTTGAGTTGCAATCTTTTCAATCTTTGTTATACCCTTAGAGATAACATCTCTAATGAAATGATATTTAACATCAATGTGCTTAGTTCTATCATGAAACATGAGATTTTTACTAAGGTGTATAGCACTTTGATTATCAGAAAACAAACTAGTTTGTGTATCAACAAAACCAAGTTTAGATAATAATCCAGTTAACCACATTCCTTCCTTTATAGCATTAGTGACATAAATATACTCAGCCTCAGTAGATGACAAAGCAACAATCTTTTGTAATTGAGATTTTCAGCTAATAACCGTACCACATAAGGTATAAAAATA